ATTACAGGTATACCAAATATTCCTACAGGTCAGGCAGTTATAGAAAGATCAAATCATACTATAAAGGATATGCTGAACAAACAGAAAGGGACTAAAAATACCCCCAGAAATAGATTACATAATGCTTTATTAACCTTGAATTTTCTTAACGCTAATGAGAAAGGAACGACAGCAGCAGAAAGACATTGGATAATGGAAAAGTCTGCTGAACTAAATCAACCGATTTATTTCAAAGATGTGCTGACCTCTCAGTGGAAGCCAGGAGATGTGCTACGTTGGGGAAGGGGTTTTGCTCTTGTTTCCACAGGAGAAGAAAAATTGTGGATACCATCAAAATTAATAAAGTTTCGATTTGAAGAGGAGAAACCTCTTGGAAAGGAGAAATGACAACTCATCCACAACGATGATATTCATACAGGTGGTAAGAAAAACATATAGAATGGGGGCAGGGTTCTGTTCTTATTTCCACAGGAAAACACTCATCTTTGAGAAATTCAAGGGACCCTGGATGTTTGGATACTGACAGATGGAAAAATACCTGCCCAATAGGAAATATCAAGACAACTGAATGGGTTGTGTAAGTAATATTAAACCATATTTCTAAATTTATAAAGCTGGTTTTGAAGTTGGACTCTGGCTCAGTCCCTCTCCAATTCCAAGCCTGTTAGTAAGAGAAAAACCCAGAGTTTCTGGAGTTTCTGTCTCATGTCAAGAGCCATGATATGGGACAGAAAGAAATATGAGTTTAGAAAACATCTTTGCTTTTCTTCATATCTATCATACTTTTCATTGAATATATCTATCATGTCTTTCATTGAATATATATATATATATATATGTCTATATGATTAATGTTTAAGTTCTTCATAATGAACAATGAGTTTTTCCTGAAATGACATTTGAAGTTTCCAGGAAGAAGATGGGGCCCCATAACAACAACTCCACCTGGTTGATATGACGTCATGATACTGATAGCGCTACTACAAGACCTGCTTTTGGTACCAGCTGCACAAGACAGTTCCAACTTGGTTAGCTGAAATGGTGCACATCTTATACAACATTTTGGCCAGACCTGCACAAAATACTCAGAGACTATTGGCAATTTTAAAAGACATTGATCTTGAAATTTAACCATCATTTCACTTTCACAGGATTCCCCAGAAAGAACGTCGCCCCCATGACAGCTGGAAGTAATTCTAGAGGACGACGTCCCCTTTCCCAATAAAACTTGCCCTTGGGTTTAGGGACATCATTTAGAGGTTGATTATAATTAGTATACGATTGAGGGTTGGGGGAGGAATTTTATACGCTCAGGGATCATTTTGAAAAAAAAAGAGGGATGATGGGATAATAGATTTGTAATTGTGAGTTACTGTTTTTAGACAAATATATTGGTATAGATTCTTGTATATTGATACAAAGTTAAATTATATTGACTATTGTATGCATGCATGTTTCTACCTCTGTTTAAAACATTTTTTATGTATTGACATATATTGTATTGATATATATATTGTATATATTTACCATTTTGCAGTGTACATTTCTACCTCTGATTAAGATACTTATATAATGATTGTGTATTGATATATATTTACCTACTGCAATGTATATTTGTACATTGTTTATATTTGGAGGTCATTGTCCTCATTTGTTTCACAGTCGTTTATTGTCTTAGTCTTTAAGTTAGATAGATATTGAGAATTATATAGACTAATAGTCATCTAAGTTTGTCATTTATAATAGACTAATCAGGTTCTTTAGATATATAGAGATTATACTCAGTATAGATAGATAATCTTCAACTTCTTCAAAGAGCTGTAGAAAATGGCCTTTAATCTAACTCAGAGTTTTGTGGTAGTGAGACACAACTGCTCCTGGCAACACCACTCTATTCCCGAGAGAATGTTGAGCACCAAAGACACTCCACCTGGAGCCTTTCTTTTTGGCAGAACTGGCGTTTGGGCAAAGAAATGCCCATACCTCAACAACTGACAAAGATACAGAGCATGCATCAATGGATAAAACAGGACTGTCATATCCTGCCGAGACAGGGTAAGATAGTTTTGAAAAGTTGCTTGCCTTAGAAAATGGTATGTCAGTTATGTTAGGCCTTAGCCAAAGTTGGTTGCTTCAACGCTGCTAATGTGACTTTGGGTGATTGCCCAGGTAGCTAGTTGTCTCTGTAATTTGTTGCATGTTTTGGAAGTTGTTTTACTGAACTTCCTAATTACCCAGGTAACATTATTTCCCTTCTCAGATCTTTGATGGGGTTGAAGACTATATAAATGTAGTTACTTTCTCTCATAACTTGGCCAAGTTATTTATTATACAAGACCTAAGCTAGTTAGAATAGGATATTTGTACTTATTGTATATAATTTCATAGTAGGTTTAGAACTCTCTTATTTAAACAAAAGGGGGAGGTGTTGCAGGAGGTCCTCCCACTCCTCCAGCCTATCACCACTGAGATACCAGCCCATTGGGGCGTGGTCTCTTTCCCTTTAAAAAAGCGGCCACTTCCCTCTCCTCTCTCTCTTCACTTCCTGCTCCGCCTGCGACTAGACTCCTTTCCTGGTTGCGTAGAGGGCTGTTGCCTGGGACAGTGATCTGTAAGTTTTTTCCCCTTTAAATAAATACCACCCTAATAATCGTAACCCCGAATTGGTGTGGCATTGTTTGTGACTTACGCCTTCACTAGGGTTTCTGATGGTTAGTTTGGCAGAGAGCCAGTAATGGTCAACGCTGCAGCTGCTGTGCTAGGGGCCCTCTGCTTTAACTCTGAGTGAAAAGGAAAGAGAGAGAGATTAATGAGATCTCAGTTACAGAACTGTACTTCAGCACACTGGATTTCTTTTGGTTTGGGGTCACTAATAACAGGGATAGTAAAGTCCCCTGGCCAAAGCTGGAGAATCTCACATTTTACCTCAGAGTAACCCGCAGCGCAGGAGCCATCAAGTATAGCTAAGGCTTCTGAGTCCTGCCTCTCAATCGCCCATCATCTTTCATTTGAGTGTAGGAATGGGCCATCATACTCTCTGCAAGTGTCTGTTCATGGTGTGTGAGGGCTCACCTCTGTGGATGCGCTGTCCAGGTGTCTCCAGCCTGTCCTGTCACTAAGTGATCTCAACTTTGCTAACGTCATGATGAATGGAATGTATTCTGCTGATGTTTGGGAGAATTTTTCATTATTACCCACGTGACTTATCTTCTTGTGACGGGACACCCACAGTCCCCATCACCCCCATGCATTGTAACAGCCCTGTGGATCTTTCCTGAGGTACTCATTCACTTCATGGAACTGAACTTCCTTCAACATCAACATGAGCAAATGTCTCAGTATCTTTCACTTCTCATCTTATTAATTAGAGATCTTCAGAGGGGAAGAGCCATTCCTTGAGAATGTTTGGAAAATGAGTCTTGACCTCTATACATGGTGAAGTATTAATTTAGAATTAATGAGAGTTTAACTAATCAAAGAAATCGCTGGATTGGAAGAAAGAGATGCTGAAGGGCTTCCCCTGTGTCTCAGGGAAGCAATTGGAAAAATCAGCTTGGCTTTTGGTGACTTCGGGAAGAGACAGTTATGAGATAAGTGATGGTAGTTGGCTGTGACTCTAACAGTCCATTCTCTGCAAATTCTATTGCATCCTGGAGAGTCATTGACCTCTTTTGTGAATCATCAGTGTTTTGTTTTTGGGGACTCATTAAGTACTTATAGGGTTCACCAGAAGACACGTTGGTAAGATTGAGCACACCGGTTGGCAGAGAGATATGACTTTTAAAAAGGGGATTGGGGCTTGAGCTGGACCTCCAGAAATGGGGTTTAGTAGCTGGGAACTTTGGAAAAGATGGTTCTATGCTGCCTCTGGGTTAATAAAGTGCAAACACATGGTCAAGGATTGTTGATGGTTAGTTTGGCAGAAAGCCAGGATTGTCAATCCTACAGCTTCTGTTCTCGAAGTTCCTTAATTTTATTTTGAGTGGCAAAGACCAGCAGGAGGCACAGACTTCTATATTATGCTGGCATGGTTACTGGGGGCTGTAGTCTGTTCTTGGCTCCTGGGCCATACCATACCACGGGCTGAATTTTGAGCTGGAGATGGTGACTATGGAGGATAAGAAAGTGATGCTGGACCTGCAGAAATTTCCCAAGAAGATTAGAGATGCCTTATATAAGTGCAAGGAGCTGACAGAGGAAACTGTCTCCTACAGGGAAGTGGGTGACTTCACTGGGATCCCCATTCATTGGGAGTGACTGTTTTTGCCATGTTTTTATCTTTGAACCAAGGTGTGGACCTTCTTTCTAGCCTGTCTCATGCTCTTGACTTGGGCCTCTTAGACCAGTTCTGCTAAGAGTGAAGTATCTGTGAGCCCATACCAGCATTGTCCTGCAAGCCAAAGGACCCTCTACATAGAAAATCTATCCGCACCATGATGTGGGTGTCAAGCATCTGTGGGTCCGTGGGAGCTCTGGGAGGGTTTTAAGAGGTGATCTAACGGTACCCATAGATGGAATATATTTCTCTTGGGTCTTTTGTCCTCCCATAGAGAATATTTGCCTTCTACTTCTCAACCTCATAATGTTTTCCCAATCATGAACAGTTAAGTACATGTGGTAGGAGGCAAACCCTGCTCTCAGAAGTACATGGATCTTTTTATTGTCAGGGATTTCAGAAGTAGCCAGAGTCTTTCTGGAATTTGGCTCTTCTCTGGCTTTTGCCAGCTACTATATTTTGCTGGCATGGTTACTGTGGTCTCTAGTCTGGGGCTGCCTGGAACAAGTACCTTGCATGGATGATGTGGGAATGGTAGATGTTGGCTGGATTGGACTCACAATGTATTTTGTGATGGTTCAGCATCCTCCACAACCAGCTCCTGAGTGAGCGAACTCAGTTGAAGCAAAAAGTGAGCATGTTGAGAGAAGAGAACCGAAAGCTACGGAGGGAGCAGATTTCACTGCAAGAGTTCTGTGAGAAGGTGAAGAATCTCTGTGATGAGGCCAATGAGAAGATCTATGAGCTATGTGCCGAGGAGAAGCAGGTAGGCGGAAGCAGTGTGTGCAGTCTGTACATCATCTGTAATAATACACACAAACACACACACACACACACACACACGATCATTTACCCACTTATTCAGCAGCTCACTAACATCCTATCCAATTGTTGATTTCCGTGAACATTCACAAGTCTTTCTGGGTAAAGCATCTTGTAATATCAATGGTTAGGTGCAGCTTTGAAAGAGGATATCCCTGTATAAATGACAAAAGAGTGGTTCTCTTTGTCATCCTTTTTATCTTTTCTCATATATTACATCTCAACATCAGTTCCTCTTCCTACCCTCCTCTCAGGTCTTCACCGCCTGCTTCACCTCTCCCTGGTCCGGTCCTCCTTAATTTCCCTTCAGAAAATAGCAGATCTCCCTTGGTGATTTGATGTAATTATTAAAATGACAATAATCCCCGGATTTTGCTCATGTTTGTTATGCATTCTAACAATGAGATACATCACTAGATCGTTTTGGACCTTGAGATTTCAATCCAGTGCTCCTATGCGGGTCTCTGACTCTGTCTCCTTTCATTCGCCTGATCAATTATTTTCATAATAAAGTCGAGTATATCCAATGTTCAACTTTTTGGGTCTGGGTTACCTCACTCAGGATACTATTTTCTATTTCCATCCATTTGCATGCAAAATTTGAGAAGTCATTGTTTTTTCCCGCTGACTAGTACTCTAATGTGTATATATTCCACACTTTCTTCATCCATTCTTCCATTGAAGGACATCTAGGTTGTTTCCATGTTCTGGCTATTACAAATAATGCTGCTATGAACATAGTTGAACAAATGCCCTTGTCATATGATCGGGCATCTCTTGGGTATATTCCCAGGAGTGGTATTGCTGGGTCCAGGGGTAGGTTGATCACGAATTTCTGATAAACCGAAACACTGCTTTCCAAAGTGGTTGCACAAGATTGCATTCCCACCAGCAATGGATGTGGAAACCCCTTCCTCCACAACCTCTCCAGCAGAGGCTATCATTGGTGTTTTTGATTTTAGCCAATCTGACAGGTGTAAGATGATATCTCAAAGTTATTTTGATTTGCATTTCCCTGATCGCTAAGGAGGTTGAGCATGACCTTAAGTGTCTTTTGGCCATTTGAACTTCTTCTGTTGAGAATTCTCTGTTCAGGTCAGTGCCCCATTTTAATTGGGTTAATTAGCATTTTAAAGTCTAGTTTCTTGAGTTCTTTATATATTTTGGAGATCAGACCTTTCTCTGTTGCAGGGTTGGTGAAGATCTTCTCCCAGTCAGTGGGTTGCCTTTTTGTCTTAGTGACAGTGCCCTTTGCTTTACAGAACTTCTCATAATAAAGTGGATTTCTTCTACTTCTTCTTGAGTAGGGTGTTCAATTCTTCTTGTTGCATGATCCCTGGATTCTGGTGATGTCATGTTGCCTTTCAGGTTGTTGGAGGAATTCTTGCATTGGTGCATGCCCATCTCTTCCTTCAAATGCAGCCAGGAGAGTCTTGGTGTCTTGTTCCAATCTTTGCTATGACTGACTCTCTGGGTGGATCTCCTCAGTGCAGGAGTAGGAACTGTTCCTGGGCCAATGGCCAGTCTGGATGGATCTCCTCATTAGAGGAACAGGGACTCCTGGTAGTCCAACGACCCCCAAAGACAAAAGCACAAACTTGGGGGGACGGCAGGGTCATTTGGAACAAAGAAGCCCCTGTAGCAGGAGGTGAAGGGGCCCTGTACACCCTCACTCATCTGGATGGAAATCCTCAGCACCTATATTTTTCCTTTTTTTCTCATTCCAAAGGTGTTGACTACAGGCGGGAGTGTGGATTGTTAATTTGGATGGGTTTTCCCACAATAGTTTTCTCCTTTGTGTGCTTGTTTTCAAATTTAGTATATCTTTAAGAATCAAAAGTCATAAACCAAAGAAACTAATGTGTTATTAATATGTAACAGTAAAAACCTTCAGTTATGTTCAGTCTGTCTCAAATCACTCGGCTATCTTTAAAAACTGAAAATAATTTACCTTCTCCAAAAGTGAACTAAAAATCATGAGTCCATGAACTTAATTGTGTCGGTGTTGTTTGGAATAAACTTATGTTGTGGTGTGTCATATATCCAAAAACATGAATTAGATGAGATTTATTTAACATGTAAAAACATTCTCAACTTTAAAGGTTTGGCCTATGTGTTTCCTGAGAGAACTTATAATATTATTCCCTAGGAGTGTTTATTAAACAATGATTTTCTTCCACAAACCCATGATTATTATATCTCAAATAACTATCTTGAAAACACACAATATGGAAGGAAATGGTTTTAAGTATCATGTAGGATTTTTACAGTGCTTTAATAAATTTAATTTAACAATTTATTAATTTTTTAGCATGCTTACAAAATATTTTCTCATGAATAAACTCTCAAGGGTGAATGTCATTCATTCCTTTTAATAGTACACATTAGATTAGCTTGAGATCACAAACAGTGAAGAGAGATATTTACTGTGTCAAACATCTAGAAACACGTGTTTATAAACATTCAGCTGCTTCTGAGTAAGAGAAGAAGCAGCTGATAGTAAAGCTTTCGGGAAAAAACTGATAAATAAATCCATTACACTTATTACACTGGGAGACATAACTAAATTTTTCAAACAGTAGAAACTGTCAATTTGTCAGAAAGACCAAATGTGTTTGGTAAATAGTTCAGCATCAGTGTAAAGCATTTTTAAATGGTCAGAGAGGAGAGACAAACAAATAAAAACCCTCTGTACAAAGGACAGCAAGAATAAGGCACAAGGAACAGAATGTTTTTCAAACCGTAGTCTCTGGTTGTGTTGTGCGTGTACACGGTCTCTCTGTGCTACCTCAGGTTCTAATGGAGTCTACTGTCTCCTTGTGACAGTGAAATGAGTAAGGAGTGTGAAACCCGAACTTCAAAGTTTCCATTCTTACTTACTAGGCGTCCTTCTTTACCTATCCCCACATCCTTCACATATAGCGGTTTGTTACTCGTGTTTAAGGAAAAAGAGGGCTCCTAACAGTAGGTCCTCATGGGCATTATAAAAATCTCAGTATTTGCTTTTCATATCAGAATATATGAGTCCATAAGAATCTATCATAACATCCTGTGGTAATATTCTACATGCTTAATGAACAATGTCTAGTGTTGAAGCATTTTGAACTCTACAGCTTCCATTAAAAAAAAAGCCAAAAATACTTGCAGTTCTCTCAAAATTTCAAAGTCACAAACAACTGCATGTGGAAATAAAATTGCTTTCACTTGTGTTTCATTCCACAGCTTCTATTTGTCAATCTAATTAGCAGCCCCAACATCTTTGTGAATCTTCCCAGTAAAACCGAGGTAGAAGTATGATAAGCTTCATAAGATTTTGATCTCCATAAGATATTGAGTTCAGCTTTCCTTTCCCCACTGCTGCTTTGCTTTGATTGAGTACAACAAGCCAGTGCAGCCAAAGATCTCACTGCTGAGCAGACCTCTTGAACTCAGCAAGGGAAAAACTCAGCATTTTAATCTCTCTTGTTTTCATGAGTATCTGTTTAACCAAGCCAGGAGTAAATAGTTCCTTATTTTTGAGGCTCTGCAGATGGTGAGTGTGCGTGTAACAGGTGAATGGTATTTAGTGATACTTTTTAAAAAGCAAATCCTCTAGAGAGAATCCAGGAATGGAAGTTCAGAAGAGATGGATGGTTCTACAGTAAGTATGTCTCTGCACAGCAGCTATGCTCAATTTCTTCTACAAAGTTGATATATTTATGTTGCACATTTTCTCTGCTTCTCATAGTCTTCCCTAAGGAGTTTATTTCTATTGATATTTGTGAGTCTGTGCTAAATTATGACAGCTATAATTGAGTCTTTAAATATATACAATTTAAACGGGATCAAATTCCCACTGTTTTGTTTTGTTCTTGTCTGTTTGTTTTTTGAAGACATAGATCCTCAATGAACTGATGATGCTTATCATTGGAAATACCACTGTGACAGAGGAATATTGCAGTTTCCTGATGCTCAATTCCTCCAGAGACCAACTCACATCCTCATAAAACAATAGAAAATGCAAATATATGGATTGATTTCTGCACGGGGCTCTCTTGGTTTACTGGTTTATGAAAAATGCATGCTCGTTCACATGAAATGTGTAGCCTAGCAAAACTTTTTCAGTTATGAAAAAGTAGACTTAGGAATGGCATAGTCTTGTGAAAAACAAAACTACATATATATGGAATTCACTTGAGAATCTGGAAGGTGGCAGATATACGTAGCTTATGCATGGCATAAAAGTGATGCTGTTGTATTCACACTAGAGTTTCCATGCTTTATTCCTTGGGCAATCACTATCCCAGCAATAATGATGTGACTCTTTTTGTGAAAAGCTGTCATCAGTTATCCTTAATGTATTGATGTTGAATTCATTCACCTGTGTTAGGTTCTCTGTAACACTGTCTACCACTTCAGAGATCACTAGTTTGGTTGCTTTGTTCCTGGATTCATATACAGTGTTTGATTCTATAGTCAGGATATGTTGAATTCATATTATCAGTAATAAATTATTTTGAAGCATTGCCAAGTGATGAACATAAACTATCACATCTTTTGTAGAAAATGAACTTCTCTCTAATTATTTATATTTGATTTTTTGCGTTGGAAACTACCTAGCATGGGATCTCCACACATTTCCCCAATGAACACAGTAGTTTTCATATGAATATTAAAAAATAGCGGTCTATTTATATGTTTTCTAAACTTAATACTTCTACTGAAAACAGGTTTCCTTAAATTATTTCCTAGTTGTATTTGTTTCAACTCTACTATGACCAATTCCTCCCCATCATTTTCCCATCCAGATGCAACCCCTTTCTTTCTCTCACAAGAAAAAAAACTGATTTCTAAGTGATAATAATAATAAAAAATATATACTCTGATGTAGTAAGATAAAACAAAACTACCACAGAATAATAGAAAAAAATTAGAAAAAAAATACCCC